AGGGAAGAACCAGGGCAAAGGCCCGGAGGCGGGCGCGTGCCTGCCTGTACGTGGAGGGAGCGAGCAGGGGGTAGTGTAGTAGGGCGAAAAGTCGGAGAGGTGCCGAGAGGCTTGACTGGGTAGGGTCTCGCGGGCCATTGTGAGGACTTAAGCGATGGGGAGGGTTTTGAGCGGAAGAATGACATGATAGGACTTTCCTTTTAACAGATTAATCCGGCTGCTATGTTGACGATAGGCTGCAGTGGGCAAGGGACGACCTGTGAGGAGGCTGAGGAACCAGTTGGGGGGCGGGGGGGGGGCATGATGGTGGCAGTGAAGGTGGAGAGAAGCCGGTGAGTTCTGGTTATAATTTGAAAGTAGAAGGCAGAGTCTTTAGGATTTGCGGGGGTTTGAATTTAAAACGTAAAATAAAGACAGCCCTTCTGAGCAGCACCTGCCCAAGAGGCCCCAGAGGTTCTTTTTTCCATCCTGGCAGATACCTCCCTACCCCCTGGATACCCCAGAAACCTGGGCCTGGCTCCCTCCCTCCACCTGCTGGCATCCTAATGGCTTGGTTGGCTCAACCTTCTGAGCCCAGAGTGAGAAATGCCCTGGGCACATTTTGAGCCTGTTGAGACAGCCTGGGCGAAGCCTTAAAGATGGAACATGGGGCATGGAGAAAAGATCCTGGCTGGGGCTCCAGAGATGTGTATTCTTCTGTGGTCAGTTCTAGGGTCTTGAACTTGAAGTCCCCTGAGGGCTCAGAGAGAGGAAGGCAGAGATGGCAAACACCACCTCAGGCGCTCACGAGCTGGTGTGACCCTGGGCGAGTCCTTTCATCTCTCTGAAGCTGTCCTCTCTAACGTGGGGCTAACAATTCTGACTTTGTCAGGAGAGTTGTGACAATCAAATGACAGCTCCCTGGCACATGATCAGGTGTGGCTCAGTGTGTGTTCTTATCTCTACCACCTTTAAGGTACAAGGTTTCAGGGCATACCCCCCAAATAATTCAAGTTTTAAATATCAACTTCACCGAAGTATAACAGACATGATAAACTGCATACATTTAAGGTATACAGATCAATGAATTGTGACATGCCCATGCTTGTAAAATTACCACCACGAGCGAAATACAGAACATTTCCATCATCATGCCCCTCTGCAATTCACCCTTCCTGCTGCTTCAGCCTCAGGAATCACTGAGCTGTTTTCTGCCGTTATGAATCTGTTTGCATGTTACAGAATTTAATATAAATAGAATCAGAATATTTTGTTATTGGCTTCTTTCACTTAGCATAACAAGCGCTCTTGAGGTTCATCCATGTCGTGTGTATCAGTAGTTCATACTGCAAGCTCCCTAGCAGAATTTATAATGTGAGACTAGAGAGCACATATATTCACATCTGTTTCACACACACGTGCGTATACACACACACACTAACTTGGAGGCACCTCAGGGCAAAGCAAAGTCTGGAAAACATCCAGCTCAATCATGGTGACTTATTAACAGTATCTTCTAATCTATCTGATGCTCATCCCCCACATCTTGAGAAGAGGGGTTAAAAATCAACTAATTTTAGAAGTTTTAGATTTGCGGAGGTCATGAAGATAGTGCAGGTCCCTTTTACCCCTTACCCACTGTCCCCTGTTGCCGACATCTTCTATTATTAGGGAACATTTGTCACAGCTGATGACCTAATTTTGATCCATTATTATTAGCTAATTCGGATTTCCTTCGTTTTGACCTAATGTCCTTCCTCTCACCTAGGATCTCATCCAGCATGCCACGCTGCATTTGGTTATCAGGTCTCCTTAGAATCCTCTAATCTGTGACTTTCCTTGTTTTTGGTGACTTTGACGGTTTTGAAGAGTCAGGCATTTTCAGAATGTCCCTCGACTTGGCTTGCCCGATGTCTTTCTCATGGTTAGACTGGTTATGGGGTACCAGGAGAAGACCACAGAAGCAAAGTGCCTCTCTCATCGCATCCAATAAAGAGTGCAATGCCATCAACCTGATTTATCCCTGGAGATGTTGACCTTGATCACCCGACTGAGGTCACGTTTGTCAAGTTTGTCTACTGTAAAGTTGCTCTTCCCCCCACCCCTTCATGCTGTCCCTTTGGAAGGAAGGCAGTGTATGCAGCTTACACCTAAAGGGAAAGTAGCTGCCTAAATTGTTCGGAATTCTTCTGCATGGGAGATGTGTCTCTTTTCCTCATTTATTTAATTAATTGTCCATTTATATCAGTATGGAATGGTGGATATTTATTTTATACTTTGGGTTATAATCCAATACTATGTTTTTTACTTTGTTGCTCCAACTGTTCCAGCATTGGTCCCTGGGAGCATTTTCAGTTGGCTCCTGTGTCCCTTTGACTCTGTGTGTGTGTGTGTGTGTGTGTGTGTGTGTGTGTGTGTGTGTGTGTGTGTGTGTGTGTGTGTGTGTTTAGCCCGTCTTTACTCTCTGGCACTAGAAGATGCTCCAGGCTCATCTTGTATACTTCCTGCCCAAGCCCTAGAATCAGCCATTTCTCCAAGGAGCCCAGGCTCTGTTTATTGTGGAATAATACAGAAATCAAAACCTGGCACTGGATGTGCTCACTGCTGCTGGGGTGTCCTTGCTTCTAGGCCCTCTTGGCTGACAGAGCAAGCAAGTGTATGTGCAGATACTAACCTACGTATATACACATATCCGTGAATACGTCTATATGCATCCAACTCCAGCTATGGTAAGAGATCATACTGATGCCCCCAATTCTAATCCAGTACCACATGGATCATTCCAGCTTTCCCCTTTGCTTGTCTGCAACCTCTCATCCAACAGAGAGAAACCTGGCTCCCACAATCCATTTACTTAATTGTCCAATTCCAGTGATTTCAGAATTATTAACCTGTACTCACTCCCACGGGAAACTACTTCAGAAACCAGAGCGCAGTGCGATGCGTAGTTCCTTTTGCCTGCAGTTGTACAGAATTACTTAGGTCAGCATCTTTTCTCCCACCCAGACCTTTTTTCCTGGCCTGGCTCTCCCTTCCACCCGCCAATAAAATCTGGCCTAATGGGCTCCAGGGGTGGTGGTCTCTGTGGGGACCAGACCCCAATGCTCTATTGAGCCTCATCAGTCCCCTCTGCCATCTGTAGATTAAGTGACACCCTTCACCCCAAAACAATCCAACCAAATCCTCTCAATCCACCTGCCAAGCTCTGTGACCTCATGGGCACACTGTCCCAAGGCCCGGCTCGTCGAGTGTCACTCCTGCCTGAGGACCATTCCTCATTCCCCCAGGACCATGTAGCAGGGGCCGGCCACTCTGGGTCCTGGCCGAGCCGTCCCGCCGTTCTGCTGGTCTTCCTGGTAACTGGGGCCTTCTCAGGTTACTCAGAGGATCACTTTGCCTTAGAAACTCCAGCTGTCACCTCGGACGCATCAGTAACCGATGCCAAGGCCCTGAGCAGCACAGGGCCGGCAAGAAGCGGGTATCACTGGGAGTTCTGCAACTGCTGTGTTCTGTCACCACGTCCATTGCAGGCACCAGTAAAAGAGGTGAGCAGATCTGGGGGGTGGGGGTGCAGCACCCAAAATTCTGTGATGGGGGCCCTGGGATGTCTCCTGTTTCGTGCCCTGAGTTAGCTCAGTCAGCCCTGTCAAGAGCCTGGATTCCTGCTTCCAGGCAAAGGCCAGGTGGCGGAGAGGGGCCCAGAGCGGGGGCTCTGGGTAGGTGGGAGAGGGCTGGGGTCGGTCTTCAGGGCCAGAGGGCTTGACATGGTGAAAGCCAGGGGCGTCCAGGTGCTGGCAGCCTCTTCGGCCCTATGGGCACCACAGGCTGGGTGTAGAGGTTTTAGGAATTGCTGGCTCTGGCCTCTGACAGGCAGCCCTGTTGCAGGTGTGTTGTTCAGAACAGGTGTGCACCCAGAGGGTGAGCATTGCCCTGGCCCCAAATTCAGAGTATCTAGGTATCTAGCCTGTCCCTCCTTGACTGTGGAGGAGCTGGTTGCTTCTGTCATGGCACGAGCCCCTCCAAGACATGGTGATGCCCTCAGCCTTCCTTGGTGTCTAGGGCAGCCACCAAGCGACAAAGGAAGTGTCCCTGAGGCTCCATGGCAGCAGCACCTCCTGGCAGAGGAGGACGAGAGCCCCTGGGGTGTGACAGCCTCCACTCCACCCAGTGTGAGGAGTTCTCACATCGTGCTCTCTTGGCGGGTGACACAGGTTCTCACTGGATGTCACTCAAGGGCTTTACTTCTTAGTCTGTGATGCTTTGGAACCCTGGGTCTCCCCACCCGCAACTCCCCAGCTTCCAAGAAGTGTTCCCCAGGTGTCCTACGAGAGGGAGCCAAAAGGAGGATGACTCCCATGGGCGAGGGTCTCCAAGCACCTGGGGAGGGCTGAGGGCCACCCAGGAAGGGCCTTCAAAGCCTAGCCCTCCGAGGTTCTGCTAAGCCAGGGCCAAGAAGGCCTGGGACTGCAGACTCTTCCCCAGAAAACTGAGTCTTCACACCCCGTATAGCACACAGTTTCAGAGCCATCCATGCACTCCTGAAAGGAATCTCTGTCCTACACAGACCGGGAACACACACACTCAGAGACTGCTCCATCCAGCACAGCCCTCGCGTGCTGGCTGTTTGTGCCTCCAGCCCATCCCACCTGTCCATATGGCCGGCCTCGGAGGACAGAGGCACCTCCTCCCTGGAGCCTGTCCTAGAGCCGGGAGCCCAGACCCTAGATCAGCCACAGCATGCTTCCCCAGGGAGGTCAGGAGCCTTAAAGCTTAAAGGGCAAATATCCCCAAAAGTCAGTAGGAATTTGTGACCTCGTGTCACTGAGAAATCCTTCTGTCATAGGGAAGTTGGTGAATTTTAGGCCCAGCTGGCTCCAGGAGTTCAGACAGTACCTAAGAACTGATCCTCCAGAAGGTTATAGCACACTTCCCGGGCCATCGAGTGGCATGCAGCACTGCAGACAGGGCCACAAGCAATCCCCTGCGTGCTGCCTCTCTCCAGGCGCACCGTCGCTGCTGCCATGCCTGCCACCAACCAGGGCTGGCCGGAGGACTTCGGCTTCCGGCTGGGCGGCTCCGGGCCCTGCTTCGTCCTGGAGGTGGCTGAAGGGAGCAGCGCGCACGCCGGGGGGCTGCGGCCCGGGGACCAGATCCTGGAGGTGGAGGGAATGGCCGTCGGCGGCCTGAGCCGCGAGCGCCTCGTGCGCCTGGCCCGGCGCTGCCCGCGCG